TGGATTAATTACAAAATATTTGGAGATTATATTAATTTCTCCCTCATTGTAATCGTATATGTAAGAAATTGCAAAATCACAGGTATTGATCGAGCAATCATGATTATAGGTTGACGACAACACCTCGTTTATTTGCCAGGAGTTTAAATGTTTAGCTTTTTGGGGTGTGCTAATTTATACAAATGATTCCAAATAGGCTGAGTCTTTAAATGCACAATAGAATTGTACAGAAAATGTTGTTATTTATAAACAAACATCTTGCATCACTTCAAAATTATGCACCATTTTGTGCTGTTTTATCAAATAAAGTCCCTGTGAAATCCAATGACGTTTGTGGCTGTAAAGTGCCAGATTATAAAATTGTTCAAAAAGTACCAATACATATGAGAGGCAATGCACCTTGTGCTGCTTTTGCAAACCAATTTCTAGTAAAAATGAGACTTGGAGGAAGAAAAACAGTGGTTGTCTGCATGTTCACAACTACATTATGTGTTTCTAAGCACTTTACTAAAGAGTTTTAGACAAAACTCAAATCTTACACTTTCCTAAATGTTTTCTGCCCTTCCCAACTCAACATGCGCTTTGGAAAAATGCAAGTTAATTAGTTTTGGTTTGTCTTTGACTTTATACTCTTAGATCAGCAGTAACCAAAGTGTGGTTCAGGGGCCATTTGTGCCCCTTGAAATGATTTTGTTCAACCCTTGACTACAAATAAAAACAATTCATGACCCAAATTGTCTGTTTTTCTTTTAATAAAGCAACAGTATAAAGCCTTTTTCATTATTTGGATCTTCAATGAAATACAGTAAAACAAAAAGTAGCAAAAATTTGAACCCTGGGGCAAAAAGTCTGGACCCTGCTACGTTAGCTGTAGCATCTCTGGGCTCCTGATACTGACCTTGGTTGAGGTAGGTGAGTGTTTCATCATGCAGTTTAATGGCTGGCGAGGTAGGTGCACACAAAACATACTGAAAGGGAAGGATCTTGTTTTCAGTTTCCGGAGGCAAGTTGGACTCCTCCTGTTTGAAGATGGGGAGGGCGAGCACATCGCTGCAGAGGAAAGCCATGAGAAAAGTGTTAACAATAAAACTCTCACCTCACATTCATTCTTTCCATGAAACAAACCTAAAAGGTAATTATTTTGTAATAGATACAGAATGAATTTCAAACAGGACAGAGATGCTGGAGGAGAGCTTTAGGCTGAGTCGTGTTGTTCTCCTGCTGTGCAGCTCGTTAACTGGAACCGGGAGCAGCACCACTAAATACCAGCGTTTCCAGGTCAGGAGTCCCCGCTCCCCTCAACACAGGAATCCTGGCCACAATCAGGCACTTACGGGAACAGATGGATTCGTCACCCACCAAGCAAAGTACTGAACTGAACTGAACTTAAACTGACTAAACGTTAGGAAAATGTAAGTATTTATCAAGAAAGTCTCAAATGTGAGAATTTGAAACTAAGTTTTAGATGAATTGATTTTATCTACTCGTTTCATCAAAACAGCAAATCCCCGAAACAAACTGATGATGATGTTTAGTTTGCCAGAAGCAACTTTTTAAGTGGAACCTTCTAATTAACTGGAGTGCATGTTTCCTATTGTCTAAAGCTGAAAAATATAAACACTTTTTAATTCTTTATTTATCAAAATTATATCAATATTGCCTCATTCACCAATATTATAAAATGTTTTCCTAGTAATATGCACTCAGAAAATGTTTCTAATAATAATGTAATATCTACATTATAGTTGTTGCATGACATCATCAAATCCAAGACATATACCGTACTTTATTGATCCTAAAGGGGAATTACCATAAATAAATTTCAGTTATTGTTATTACTGGCAGTTAGGGTCCATTCAATTAGCCAGATATAATACAGAAATGTAGAGCACTAATGCAAACCAGCGAAACTTAGAACTCACACTGATATGTTTTATGTAAATGAAATGTGGAAAATCAGAATAAAAATTGCAAAGCAAACTAAATTAGGGATGCAGCTAATGATAATTTCAGTAACTGATTATTCAATTCATTACTCTGTTGAATAATGAATTAATCTGATAAAAAAAATAAATTGCCACATTCTGCAAATAAGATCAGTTTGCTGGTTAATCAAGCGCACAGATATCGTGGTCTTTAAAGAAGGTGTTTATACTTTTAGCAGTGTGGGCAAATACTGTAAAAAATAAATAAATAAAGCAGAATCTCCATAACGTTTGTCAACAAAGGGAAGCATTAACACTCTAATATGACTTTGAAAAACACTTCACCTTAAACAACTTTCATTCTGCTTCCCATTTTTTCTTAACCTTCATTTTCAAATGAAAAGCAAAATTTATTTACTCCTGAAAAAAAGGACTTTGGAAGAAGCAAAGTATTTTTCTCCTTCAGTCAAGTAAGAGCATTCTATACTCATTTCAAAAGTTAGAAACATCTGTGTGTGGCATTTCTTAAACCATGCCTTTTGAATCTTTCCCTTTCCTACCACACTTCTTCCTTCCACTCAACTTTCCACCATCTGAAAGGACTGTCAGTCAGTTGTCTTCTCCATGATTGAGTAGTCCACTATATGCAACTTCTTAATTAAAAATTACTTTTAACTGGTTTTATATGATTTTCTAACAAACTAGATTTTGGGTTTTCATAAATCATAATCTGTAAATTATAAAATGAACAGAAATAAACACTTAAGATACGTCACTGTGTGACAACCTTACATATACTACTTTGAATTAAATTTTTGAAACACGTGAACTTCTTGTTGATGCTCTACTATAATAAAATGCAGTATTTACTGCAGCATTTAGATAAACATTAACACCAAAAACAGCATGGAGGTTTTTATCCTCAACGTACCTCATACTGTACGCCCCAGCACCAAGCTCCTGCCCTATCCCGGAGAGACTGGCATCAAAGTCCTGGACCAGTCCGGACTCGATCACTTCATCCGTGAGGGGCAGCTTCAGAGCCCACGCCATGCTGACGCTGCGCTGTTTTTATCTTAATTTCTTTCTTTAAGAAGCGAAGGTTTCACCTGTTTGCTGCAACCTTCAAAAGTCTGCAGGAAAAAAAGTTAAATAAATGAATATTTCATGGGCGTGGAAAACTGCTGCCAGGACAAAACATGTAACAGATAAGGACAATAAATGATAACAGGAAATTAAGCAGGTTTGCATTAAAATTAACGGTCTAGAACTCGTCACGTTTTTCTGCCAGAAAACCAAAGAAAATACAGCGAATCACAAAAAAATATTATTTTGTTTGTTTTTCTTTAATAATCGCCACACTTTTACTGCAAATAACTCTTACCTTTAAATTAAATACGTATTTTTCTTCAAATACATCTATGCTTCCATGCCATGATCATGTCGCGCTCATTCGCACTAAAATAAACATGACGAGCAGCTTAGCTTAGCAACGCGAAGATGCTGCTAGCTCCTCTTCTTCTTTGCTTCTGGCTGTCCACCTCACCTGTCTGTTGCTGCTAGCTATATCTATACGGACAGTGATGAAGAAAACTAAACCATAGTTTTAAATATTACATAATGTAATATAACGTCGTTTGTTTATCTTGCTTTTCGGAAAGAAGCCGCCGTAATTTCCTGTTTCTCCTTTTTCTTCTGGAACTGACCGGGAGAGCAAAGGAACGTTTGTGCTCACTGCCGCCTCCTTCTGGACAAGTGATGGTACATATTGTATTTTTTCCATATTTTGTCAGATTAAATGTGACAGACCTACAAGTAGTGCACTTTGTTAAATAAAAGAGATCTATAAATACAACGCCTTCAGAGGCAAACAGGGTGGATAAAGAAGGGTTATAAGTTTTTCCTTCCAGTAGCTGTTAGACTATCAACAAACTTATGTGTTTAATATGTTTTCTAATAGGATTTACCAGTATTTAAATCTATCAATCTTCCCATGAACTCCAAGTATATTTGTGCATAAAAATGGTACTTTAATAGAAATTTAAAAAATGGAACATGGACATTATTTGAAGTTATAAAAACTGTACAAGTAATAGCAGGGATGTTCCATGACTTGATAAGTTTACTATTTCTATTTGTTAGAATGCTGTATTTGTTTTTAAACTAGTAACTTGTTTTATTAATGCTTTATGACTTTCAAACCCTTATCTCTTGCAGTGAAGCAGTTCAATTTGTTATAATGCTTTATAAACAAAGTTGACATTGATATCTAGGAAAAGTTACAAGGTCATAGAAACAAAGGTTTCCATTTCATTAATGCTACCTGTCTACTTTGACAACACCTGCAATTCATATCAATTAAGATCAATTATGCAATCAGGATATGATCTCTATAAATCCTTTTTTTTATAGAGAAAACAGGTGCAGACAGGCAACCAACGTCTCCATGGGTTATGCCTGAAATGTCAACTGAGGACATGTGGGAATAAAAAATTGGAGAGAGCCATCAGGTTGGTGCGATATAAAAACAATAATTTAAATGACAACCAGTACAAATATAACAAGGCACACAAGTATTTGTTAAAGATGGTTTATTCTTTTGACAAAAAAAAGACAAAAACCATTAAATGTTTATTTTGTGGAGATATGAAACTACAACAGCTTGCCAAGGGAAATGAGTAGTACCTTTTATTTATTCTCAAATAATGCTTTTACTTTTCTTTATTACTTAACTTACTATGATAAACATAATTATATATTTTTTTAATTGCAGAGCAGGAAGGTACATTTTAAAGCAAGACTCATGTTTTTATGTTTAGGTATACTGCATTAAAAGCCTAAAGTTATCCATAAGGCAACCATGAGATAGAGCATAAAATGCATCATTTATTAAGATATGATTTCACAAACTCAAAACATTTTGTATTTATGCACATTAGTAAAAATTTTGTTGTAATTTACATGTTTTCATCTGCATATATAGTAAATAAAAGTTTTGCCATTTTGCCAGTAGGCTACTGCTACATTTTGCAAAAGCTTCTTACTAATCGATAGCAGTAAAGAAAAACCTCTTTCTTTTTTTACAAAACACATAAATCTGGTACTACACTGAAATCGTGATTGCAAGCGGCTCATTCACTTCCCCTGCTTTCACTAAAGTGCAAACAAATCCTTAAATAACGGCAAGGATAAAGAGAAACGCCAGTTTGTTTCCATGTGAAATCTCCATAAATTTGTTCAAACTGAACGTTCTAACCAAACAATCCGCATTTCTCCACGCAGCTAAGCTGATAATGTTTTTTATCATTATTAATTTAAGGAGTTTGATTTAAAATTTTACAAGGAACATCAAAAAACTCGACAGTAATATCTACATTAAATTATATGAGGCTCCATACAGGCCAGTTAGGATGAATTTGTTGGCACTCCTGGTAACAAATAGCTTTAAAATAAACCCATTGTAGATATAACTTTTAATTTGATTCAAAAACCATACTAACAATTCTTTCTCAAATAAACATCATTATCTCTATTATCTGTTAATCAACTACTTTCTGTTATGAATAAGGCATAACACGAGGAGGAATTAATTTCAGTTGCAAGGCTGGATAAGAATCAAAATTTGCCGTACTAAAATAAAACTCTGACGTTTAAAGACCTGCAAATACAAGTCACCAGGTTTCCATGACAACCACTTGTATGAGAAATACAGCAGAGAAAATCTTCATTTACCCTTACAAACATAAAAATGCTTTGGTATAAAAGATAGACAGAATTAACTTTTCACCACAAATACTTGAAGTGAGCCAAAGAATAAATATGGATAAAAGATCTTTAAACGAAACTGTTTAAAATAAAAGATTAATTTAATCCGAAATCAGCATATAAACCGAGTTATTACATCAGATGAACTAATATTTGTGGGTTGTTTTTCTCCACTGAATACATTTTCAGTGTGAATTTAACCTACTGCAATGAAAGGTTAATTTATTTTAAGGCTTTTTAATACATCTTTACCAGAAGTGCCAATAAATATATTCCTAACTCTAAGTTTTTATTTAAAGATATTAGATAATGAGGCAACGTACCCTTTGAACAAAACAAGCACTTAAAAATAAAGTCCAACAGACAGATTGGTGCATTCATGCATCATAGTCGCACATTCAGCCTTGACACATGAAAAGAGACACCCACAGTTTTAGTTTACAACAAACCTGGTGTGTCTGCAGCGCCCGATGCAATCAAAGCTGAGATTGTGACTAAGTTCAAGCGGTTTGACCAAATGAGAAAGAATGATCTCATGTTTCTGATTATCCATCAAAGAGGTGATTGTCCCAAAGCGCTGGGCAGAATTAAAGTAAACACTTAAAACTGAAAATAAGGTTATTGCCTTTTCAGAGTCTGACGAACCTCCAGGTAAACGACCGGCTAAAACTGTCCTATTATTCTGCATATTTTTCAAATATGCTAGTTACAGAATAACATACAAAACCGATACTGTACAAACACTTAAAATATATGAGAAGGGTTAGCTTATAAAACCACTTTTTAAAAAAAGGTAGATCAAGTTTCTTAAATATGGCATGTTACACTGCAAAAACACAAAATCATGACACAAAAGTATTTTTGGTCCAGTTTCAAGTGTGAGTGTCTAAGTAAACTTGAAATAAGACTTCTGCAAGAAATATGAGCTTGTTTAAAGTCAGTAACTCATTTCCTTTGTCCCATTAGATGTTGTGCTATAAGTAAAATAATCTGCCAATGGAACAAATAAAACCTCATATTTTTAGCTGAAAAGTTATTTGTACGTTAGTTTTTTCTTATTAAGTGTACTGCTATATTTGCATCAGAAACTAGACTAAAACTACTTGGTGAGGTTTTGTGTTTTTGCAGTGTAAAACTGTAACACAAACGGACCATGCAGTGTAACTGAGTATGCACCAAACTGTGTTCACATACACAACCTGAGAACACAGTTCCAACTCATTTTTCATACACAACTTTACAATTTTCTTGATTTTTATTTAGAAAAAAACCCCTCAACTTTCTACCCACCCTAATGAGGATGAGAATGAGGTTGTTCCTAAACCTGGAAGACGTTGATCTTGCTCGTGTTCTTCAGTGTCTGTCGTCTGTTGCAGAACCAGACCCGGACCACCTCTCTGTCATAATTCAGTTCTCTTGCGATCTCTGTAATCTCCTGGCCTGTGGGCAGAGCGTTCTTCTCAAAGTAGGAGTTAAGGACCTCGATCGCCTGCGGCGTGAAACTGGTGCGCCGTTTGCGCTTTTTGGACGGTTCGCCACCGACAAACTCCATGAGGTTCTGCTGGCCTTTCTGGTTCCAGTGCTCGGCCTCAGCCAGCCATTTCTCTAAAACCGGTTTCAGCTTCTGAGCGCTCTTGGGGGTGATGTCGAGCTTTTCAAACCTGAGGCAAAAAGGAGGGAGAAACTTTTTCAATCAACAATAGAAATGACGACAAAACCTAAAATGGACCTTTAAAAAATTAGTTTTAAAAGAAACTCATTCAAAATTCAAATTTTACAAATTTTTTAACATCCATTTGGGTCACTGCTGCTTCTAAAAAACAGTCAAGAGCTTAAAGAATAAGGTTCATGCAATAAGATAATGTTTTTTAGTGTCTAGAAAATAAGTCGTTTCAAAAACCTTCCAAAAGTAACAAATCAGCAGGCACTGCCCCGTTACCTAGCAACCTCGGCGAAGCACCATCCATTACCTAGCAACCTCATGGGAGCTCTGCTGTCACCTAGCAGGATATTTGGTTTTATCGCTGTATGCGCTGTACAATGGCTGCTAGAAAAGACAAGTGCTTTTTTTCTTGACTTACCATCCAGAAACCACTTACTGCATTTTTGTTGGTTGGGCCGGAGGCTCTCCTAATGCTTTTTAAAGATGTTTAGTTGCATAATTGCAGCCATTTTCAGGGTAAATATTGAGTTTGGGGGTGGTGGATGATTTTGTGCAAAAGATGTAATAACGATTTTTTGTTTAGCTTATTGACCTATCCTAACCAGTTCAAGGAAGCATAATAATAAGTCACCTGTGGATTCTATTTACCGATTAGGTGGCTTTGAATAGCATTTTAAGCTTTTAATTTCATTTAGGATCAATAGAGTAAAGGCGGTTAAATGCCAACACACAGAACACTTTAAAAAATCTGTTGCATAAAATCTAAATGAAATACTTTGATGTTTGTGGCTGAAACGACACAAAATGTGAAAAACAGAAGTGAATACTTTTGTATAACCAGTTGTGGGGAATATACTCTAAATAATTTAACTGTAAATGGATAATTCAAATAGGATCCGTTTTCAGTAATAAAGCAGTAAAAGCAATCCTGTCTTTCAGTGGACCGTTCCATTTGTTCCTCAGCAGAATACGATAATCAAAAACGTTCCTTTCTCTCTGTGAGTCAACATTTTGGCTGTGAAGAGGAGCCGTCTGACGCACTGCACACAGCGTCAGCGAGTGATGAATCACTGGCACTTTTACAAGGGGAAACACAGAGGAAAGTTTCAAAGGAATGACGGCAGAAAGAACAGGTGAGTCACTTACCTGCAAATGGCAGACTGGCTGTACGCCGGACCCTCCGTCGCAGTGAGGGCCTGCCCTACTTGTGTCTGCGTGAGGCCCAGCGACAGCCGACGGATCTTGAAGTTTTTGGCAAACTCTCGGATTTCCTCCAAATTAATCCCTTCCTCGATGCTGGCTGCCTGCTGAGGCTCTGAAATTGTGAGGAGCCTGGTTAAAAATATCTGGCTGCTGTTTAGACATTCCTCTGCTGAGGGTAGAGAAGCAGGTGTACGTACTGCTGACAAGCTGCCCCACTTTGGCCATGTCTCCACAGGCGATGGGAGCTGCTGAGGTGAGCACGGTCGAGGTCTTCAGTGCAGACGGCTGCGGTGCAATGACAACAGGTGACTGAGTGACACTTGTCACTGAAAATAAACGGTAACGGTCACAATTTATAGATGTTGCTTGTTTGAGGATGAAAAGAGGCAGTATTATGTTGTTATTAAAATATTATATGTATCAAATACAAGAAATTTGACTTCCTGATTTAAAACTTTGAAGTTGGGCCTCTGTCTCTTTAAAAATTCCTGCTCTTTCTGAAGCTCCGCCTTCAGGAAGTCATCACAACATTTTTACTAAGCAGCAGTTTGTATGATGAGCTCAGTAGATGGATAGCTCCACCAGGTGTTTGCTAAGTCCTGCTGGCTAGTCTGAAGGAGCTGAGTGGGATAGATTAGGGAAAGACTGCTCTGTGAGCTTGAAAACTTGGAAACTGCAGCTTTAAGGAGGAGCTGCGCCTCGAAGGTGGGGCTAAGTCCACCCGGCTGTTTTGCATAGATGAATGGTTGCCATGGAAATTAAAGGATTTCTCAATGCTTGAATAATGAAGGCAACACTCCAGATATGTTTTTAGTGAGATAATAATATGATAACATGATGTGCAGCTAAAAAAATTCAATTTTACATAATACTGGCCCTTAGATTTCATTGTCTCTAATTTGGTTTATTTCAGGGCTTTTCTTTCAGTTCAAACAGGATTTGTTCTTCTACCTGAGCGTTTGGTTTGCTAACTGTAGGAGGAGCTGTAGTTTTGGGCAGAACTGCAGCAGAAGTTGCAACGGCAGCAGGCCCGTTTCCCACAGTTGCAATAATTTGGCCCTGGGTGTTGAGGAGCAGCTGTGGGGCGATGGTCTGGACCTGCAGACCCTGCAGGGGCAGAGAGGGAGCAGCGGCCCCTGCAGCCAGAGACGCCGGGTTCAACAGCAGCGGGAGGGTTCCTATCACCTGCACATTGTGCAAAGCAAAGGAAAGTATTTCAAACAACAATATAAGCACGGTTGAAATTAGAAGTGTACATACACTGAATAATAAAAACAACTTATTTCTAAACAGCTGCATTTCCATTAACTACAAAACTGGACAAATTGAAATTATGAAAATAAATTTACTTGATGGAAAGAGCAATTTTGAAAATAATTTTGTTTACTGATAAAAAGTTTTTGCGCTAGAATGAGGTGATTTTTCGGCCATATTGAAATAGATGTATTTTGCAAAACTGCAATTGAAACACTTTTATTACAACATACCATGATCAACAGCCGGATGTTACTACTGACGAAAATGACAAAGAAGACAACAGGAAGTAGTTTGAGGACGATGGTTTGTTTTTATTTTTAATCAGGTTTAAGGTATTATTTACTTAAAACAAGCTATAATTTCTTGCTGAAAAGTTACTCATAAGTCAGCCTTGTCTAACTTATAAGTAGACAAAATATTTGCACTCGCAGCTAGACCAAAAATATTTGATAAGATTTTGTGTTTTTGCAGTGTGGTACCACAGCACATCTTCACAGGTCGGGTGAAGTCCATTCCAGGCTTATTTGGTGGTCATGATAGATTATCTTTAAGAATTAAACACCTTAATCTCACATCATATCACAGCTTGTTTGTGACTGGAACCTACCTGACCCTGGGCGTTTGTGATGATCTGGCTGGTGATGCCAGCCATACTGGGCATGGCGCTGTTGATGATGGGAGTTGATGTGAGAGAACTGAGGAACTGAGGCTGTGCACCCAAAGAAGCAGCACTTATCTAAGAACATATGTATATAAAAACACAGTTAAAGACGAGAGGCAAACAAGCAAAATGTGAAAAATGATGAGCTGCATGAGCCCTACAATGGCCGGGTTGATGGACAGTCCTGCTGTCTGAAGTGCTGCCACGGAAATGCTGGGCTGGGAGATGGTGTTGGCCACAGAGGTCACCTGGGCAGCCGTCGCCTGGGCGTTAGTGACCTGTGTGTTGGTCACTTGAGTTTGCTGAGGAGGCACCTGCTGCACAGACGTTTGCACCGGCTGTACAGGTGCTGCTTGAGGCTGGAACATTGCCTGTGTATTCGCCTGCAGCTGGGGCTGGACTGAGTTCAGAACTGTTGCAGCTAAAAAGAGAAAATGACAAAATGGAGCTCTTAGGTGATGAGATTATTAATATTTAAGAGTTTACATAGCTTTGTGCACTGCAAAAACACAAAAATGTTCCAAGTGTTTTTGGTGCTTTTTAGTGCAAATATCTTGGTACACTTGAAGTAAAACAAAACTTACTTACAAGTAAGTTTTCAGCAAGATATAGGAACTTGATTTAGGTAAATAATTCCTTAATATTGGTTAAAAACAACTTGTTCCACTGGCAGATTATTTCACTTGCTACATGGGAAGAATATCTTGTTATATGATGCAAAGAAGTATTCGTCATAAAATCAAGAAAATTATAGACAACCGTAACCATCCTCTTCATGAGACTGCCTTGGGAAAACAGTGTGTTCAGTCAGAGGCTTCTTGAAATTCACTGCAATACAGACTGCTATAAGAGATCCTTCCTGCCAACAGCCATCACTATCTACAATAAATATCTGAAAAATTAGAATTAAAATGAGTTACAACATTTCATTTCCCTTTGGGACCAATAACGATTTTTTTTATTATTATTTAAATTTGAATAAGTGAAATAACTTATAGTACTAGAAAACCTGGTACTTTGTCATCAATATAAAATAATTATTTACAAGATATAGAAGTTGTTTTAGGTAAATAATTTCTTAATATTGATGGAAAAAGTATCATTTCCACTGGCAGATAGATTATTTTACTAACATCATAAATGACAGTTGGGCACTGTGCCGTTACCTAGCAACCACAGCCAACCCCAGCCCGTCACCTAGCAACCCAGTTCTAGTTCCACTGGCAGATTATCACTTGATTTCACCTGATATCAATATTAAGGAATTATTGACCTAAAACAATCTCATATATGTTGCTTAAAAGTTACTTGTAAGTTAATTTTGTCACATTTCAAGCATACTACGATTTTTGTACTAAAAAGTAGACCAAAGTACTTGGTAAGACTTAGCATTTTGTGGGAAGTAAAATGACTGAAAAAAGAATCTAACATAGATACATTTCTGGATGACAGAGGGGGAAACAAGCAGCAAGTAAACTGTGTTTTACCCTGTAGGCCAGCAAAGGGCAGCTTGAGGAGGTTCCCAGCGGGGTTTGCGGCTGCGAGGCCAGGCAGGGTGGCTACGCTGGTGGTTGGCAGAGTGAGAACCGCCAAGCCGCCCTGGCCGGCGATGGAACCGGCCATGTTGAGGGGGATGAGCAGAGGTTGACCCAGTGAACCCGTCTGAGCCATCATACCAGTCATCAAAGTGGCCAGGCTTTCCTGGGTCAGAACCTGGTGTTGTAGAGCACAAAGTGGCAAACTCCTTACACTGACCTTTACTTCTGTACAGGAAAATAACTAACAAAAGAAATGTATTTGCTTAGTTATGAAAGGAACACTTTTGTTTATGTAGAATATGATCTCAACACTCAACACCACCACTGATCTCAACTAGACCTGTCACAATTAAAACATTTTGCAGTAATTACTACAATAAACAATTCCATTGTTGTTTTGAAATTAATATAATAGTAATGGCATAGACTTTAATTTTGTAAATAATATTTTACAGTGGACCTGGAAGATGTTTTAAATATCCAAAATGAAACACCACAACCAAAAACAACAAATTAAATGGAAATAAAAACCACACAGAACGGATCTGGAAATAAAAAATGTTATTTTGTGTCTGTAAGTATCAAAAGGTATTTGTTAATTAGAATGGAAATTATTGAGCTCATTTTAATTCATCCAGCAATTAACTGATTACTCTCAATAAACTCAAAAAACTCAAAAAATGCTCACATCCCTGCCGGGGATGTGAGCATGTGTTAAAGCAACATTTTTGTTGCTTTAACAGTTTTATTTTTACATATTATAAAGAGTCTGTTGTTTTTTAATGCACTAATACATGCATATTTTGTACATTTTTAATTAAACAACTCGAATGCACATTCATCAGGACTGTGGTAAACTATTTTTTATTACTACACTGTGTTTATGTTGAAAATTTGCCCTTACTGTGCAGTATTTATATTCTTTATTCTGTTTTTCCCAAACATTGAAATTCGGCCATTATTGTCCTCTTAAAACAAGGTAATAAAGGAATTTTAAATGAGGTCAGACACTGATGTTGGACGACAATCCCTGACTTGCAGTCTTTCCTCCAGTTGCTCCTACAGGTTTTCTCTAGGGTTGATGTCACAGTTTGTACCTGTGAACAACTTTGTACTGTGATGGGCATGGCGGCCTGGGGTTGGGCGATGGAAACGCTGAGCGGAGCTGCAGAGTTCACCGTTTGGACAGCAGCAGCCGACACATCAACAGACGCCCCCTGCTGCTCACCGACCGCTGCAGGACACAAATGTTTGATTTGTCTTTATCAACAATCAAGTTGATCTGTATCGCACATTTCAGCAACACAGCAGTTCAAAATGGTTTACATTGAGAAAAGATTTTTAAAAAATAAAACATCATAAACACATCATAGAGTTAACAGTTGTAAAAACTAAAAAAGTAAAAACAGGAGAGTGCCATCATTAAAATCAGGATGTTGGTCAATGTTCCATTTATTATGGCTCAAAGAAAACTCTGTAAAGGTGGGATTTTAGTCTTGATTGACAGGAACTCAGTGTTTTGGATGTTTTGCAGTTTTCTGGAAGTTTGTTCCAGATTTGTGATGCTTAGACGCTGAATGCTGCTTTTCCATGTCTGGTGTGTGTCTTGATGATAAACTGTTCAGTGATTTATAAGCTAACAGTATTTTAAAGTCTATTCTCTTAGTGTAGCTGAGCTGGGGTTATGTGCTCCATCGTCCTGGTTTTAGTCAGAACGCCAGCAGCAGCATTCTGGATGTGATTGATTCTTTTAGGCAAACCTGTAAAGACACGGTTGCAGCGACTAAAGATAAATACATGGATGTGTTTCCCAAAATCTTGCTGAGACATTAGTCCTTTAATCATGGACAGGTTATTCAGATAATAGAAGGCTCACTTTATAATTGTCTTTATGTGGCTCTGAAGGTTCGGGTCTGAATCCATCATCAGGCCCAGATTTCTGACCTTATTGTCAGTTTCCAGCTGTAATAACTGAAGCTTTCTAGATCGTTTCTCTTTAGGTCCAAAGATTAAAACTTCATTACACCAGAAGACAATTCTGGAACTGATTAAAAATAATGATTTACCTGCTTCCCCAGTGCTGTGGGGCGCTGTGGGGCTGTTCTGGGTGCTGGCAGCTTCAACTTTCTCTGCACACTGAGCCATTTCCTCCTCAGCAGTTTTGCCCTCATTCTTCCCATCGGGTACCGAAGACGGCAGAGACGCGTCAACCTCGACTTCTAGTACACGAATTGTCTCCTGACCGGACATGACAATAACCTGCAGGGGTAAATTATGAGGTTATTAAAGATCTAGAAAATAACTGTCCAACAGGATGAGAATTTAGAAATTCATTTTGAAACTAAGCTAAATTATTTAAAAAACATAAAGAAATCCTCCTTGGGTTCTTGTAAAAATATTTAAACCTCTTGAGCATTTTTAGACACGCACAGTCAGAACGGATGGTGAACATTAATTTTCCTCTCTTGCCAAAGATTCTCAATTAGATTTAGATCTGAACTTTGATTAGGCCATTCTAGCACATGTGATTGCTTTAATCAGAACCGCTCCAATGCAGATCTGGTCGCATATTTAGGTTTGTCCTGATAAAAGAACGAGTCTTTTGCAGCCTCTCAGGATTGTGCTGTATATATTAAATACTAGTTGTGGGCCTGGAAATTATTTAGTTTGGCCCCTGACCACAAGTAAAACATGATAAAATTTTGTCAACATAGTAGGAACAATTGTTGACCCAAAAAAATCAGAAACTGTGTATTGCTTTCAGTAAGGCAACAGATTGAAGGCCTTTTTATGACTGGATCTTTAATGATATACAGATTTTTTTAAAATAATTGTTTATTTTTCAGCAAGTAAAACAAAGAATTAATTAGTATAACAAAAATGACAATAAAGTAATTTTTGCATTTTTAATTTAATGAAATTAATTGAGCCAGTTTTGCAAAACGTTTGGACGCCACTGCTCTATAACAAACTTCTGAAATTTTCACAGATCAGCTGAATTTGTCTGATTGTCCGAATACTAAAACATGCAGCATTTTCTCATTTTATCTTTATTGAAAAAGCAACAAAATACATTGATATTTGTGGCTGTAACATACTAAAATGTTCAAGAACAGGGCCAAATTTACAAGGATGCAGGCACCTGAGCTAAGGCCAATTTTGGTGTGTTATCAACTATATAGAAATAGTTTTACTAATGCAATGCAATTAACTCTCACATTACCATATAGTTCTATATATCTGCAGGTAGAAAATGATGCATGGTAGGTTTAATTTGTACCCTGGGCAATTTCTCCATGTTTTTCCCAAAGAAATCTCTACAACTATTAATATAACTCACCTGATACTGGCTTTTGAGTTTTATACAAAGCATTAAAAAACATAAAGACAGAAAAATCTTTGGTGGCCAGGCCAATAAGCCCTTTCTATTGTCTGGCCCAGTTCTAGAGATATGAATACTTTTTGTGCTAACATCAATAATTCTCCCCGTCTACCAGCATGGTCTAAACCCAGCGCTGACCTATAGTTGATGATTCACAAAGTGAAATAATGAAAGACCAAGCAGAGGCAGCAATGCAGCTGGAAGACAGGATGCAGAGGAGACAAACAGAGAGAGAGAGAGGAAGAGAGAGAGAGAGAGAGATGCGTACCTGTTGTCCCTGGCAGGGGGAATTTCAAAGTGCAGGATTTAAATGGCTGAAAAAAACTTCTGCTGTCAGACAGTGAATGGCTAAGGAGGACAGAGAAGCCGAGCACATGTTAGGACAAGATGACCCCCCCAAAAAACAAACAAAAACCAAAACTAACTTAAAAAAAAGGCGTATGAGTGCACCGACATGACGGGGAGGACATCAGCCAACAAGCAACACAGAGGCTCAGCTTTGCTTTGCCTTGCTGGCTATGTCTACGCAAAGCGTTACAGGTGAGAAAATCCACAGCCAATTATTAATAAGCATGGCAGTTTAAACACTGACAGTCTTTGAAGCAAAGAGTAGCAGAGATTATCAAGCATTAATACAGAAGTGAGTTGTGATCTTAATGGAGAGCCGTGTGGCAGACAGTTGAGGGGATAAAAGGAGCAAATGTGGTGAAGATCCGACTTACTGTAATTACACATTTCCTTGAATAAGTATTTATTCTCCTAGAACTTTTTTAAATGTTTCACATTACATGACATATTTTACTGGGATGCTAGTTGAAACCAACACAACAGAGAACATAATCAGGAAGAGGAAGAAATGTTATCATTTTATACCACAACTTAAAATTTTAAGTGATATGTGTTTGTATTCTGCTCTGCACTCTGATATAACCAACTAAAATTCTGTTCAATTATATGCTGTAATTTGTTTATACAGAAAATATGTTGAAGGTGGTCAGACAAAGCTAAATTTAAACACTCTGGCCATGCAAAGCAACATTTTGGAGTGAAACACTTCACACCACCTTCAACAGACTATAACTCCACAATGAATCATGTGCCTCAAGGGCTCTTATTCATCCAACAGGCCAAATATATAATCATATCCAACTGAATAATATGATCAAGAAGGGTGTTTTTTATCACAATACTGCAAACATTGATAATGTGATGACAAAATTGTGGAGTCCAAGTTTAAATGACAGCATAAGTGCATGGTCTAGTCAAAGTCCAGACATAAGTCCAACTGACCTGTGACAAAACTTTAAATTTGATGTTTGTAAATGCTCTCCACCTAGCCGAAGCTTGAGCAATTTTACATAGAAGAATGAGTTAGTAAATCACATAATATCCAAATAAAACACACTAAAATTTGATGGTGTGCTGTGACAAAATGTGGAAAAAGTTAAAGGAGAATACTATTATATTGTTATGAATAACAGGTGATCTTTTACCTGCTCATTGACAGTGAGCGGGGCATCTTGGGCAGGAAGATCCTGGGAGTTCATGGCTTGCTGCACCAACTTAGAAAATGTCCTGCAGGCATTCTAGATAAACAGATACTGATTATGCAAATATCATATCTAAAAAAATATAGAGATTCTTTGTTTTATTGCATTTGTACTTTAAACTCAGTTGCTGCCTTTAAAATAAACCAGCATGCTAATATTCCCTGTTATTCCTGACCATTTTAGTCACTGCAGACGCAGACTATTTAAAGGGGCCTGTAAGTATAAACAGGCCATATTGTGTTGCATAAAAGCTGCAAATAAACATGATCAAACATGGTTAAGATATTCACGAAGTGGTTGCAAATTCTGAACAGATTCCAAAACAGGCTTCAGATGGTGCGTTTGTTGCAGCAAAGCCCCCCGAGAGATGAGGATCTGTCAAAACTTCAGCGGCTGTTGATGGGCACCCCACCCCCATCCTGGTCAATAAAAGCCACTTTTTGGAGGACCAGCACCATTCACAGCCGACGGAAATCCTGTCAAGCCGAGCCGAGAGACCGAATTTTATGCATTTCCCTCTCTTTATCATAAATATATAAATTATGCTAATTACGAGCATTGCATATTAACCAAAACTCATTTCCTCTCGCCATTTCGCTGCTCCGCGCCAGCAGCGAGCTTGGACACAGTGCGGTTTTTATATGCAACTTACCGCGGAAATGCAGCTTATTTCCCGTAATCCGCCGCTCTTAAAATGCTCCCTGTCACAGTTTGTTTCAGTCACACATCATTAGAAATTCATCTCAGCTCCCAGACAGGCGCTGTGACTGCACACAAAAGAGAGGTATTTGCATTGATAAGGAGGGCTGCAATGTTAGGATCTCCTCTGCCTTAATATTTAATGACGGTGCCCTTTCTGCAACAGTTCACACCATCAGGAATCCTCCAGGTGTCTCCCGGAATCCCCCCAGAGCTGTAAAGTCGGACAAAATTGCCCCAAAATTGTCCTTTTGCACTACGTCATGAACATAATTTATGCAAGAAAAAAATCTTGCATTGAAAAATGTCTGCCTCGACTTGAGCGGTGCCATGGTTCTCTTAAAGGGGACGTACACCGCATTGAGAAAGTCGAGCAGTGTTTGTCAAACGCTGAAATAAACATTTAGAGGGGATTCAGATATACAGTTAGTAGATTTTAGAGTGACCAGTTTCAAATCGTTTAAATATTTGAATTTAGATGATTATGGCTTACAGCAAATAAAAACCACAAAACACAAATTTATATTTTTTTTCACCAAATTTTGAAGTGAACAGTACAACAGCACATTTCTTTTATTTTTTCAGTCATTTTTATAATATGTAATAATTGGAAAATAATCCAAGCAATAAACACATTGACAATAGTTTCTAAAAAAAAAACGTAATCAAACATTATTAAAAATAAATAAATAAATAACAAATGTTTTTAATCCTCCTTTAATCTGTGTTATTTTGGAATAATTTGATTGGGAAAAACCAGTACAATCATATGAACATTTTGGTTCTTTTAACTTAAATTTAAAAAATGTTGTATTTGTCATTTTCATTGAACATAATGAGCCAAATTAAGCTAAATTTCGCCTGTATCACTTAATTGTAAAGGTCGATACTCAATTTTAATATACATTTTTAAAATGTGAACATTTAAAAATTCTTATTTGTTATTCACATGGCTTTATAAGTTATGAAAAAAACATATTTGTAAAATTTCCAGCTTGGGAATAACTTTGCTATTGCAGTTTAAATAAAATTACTAATTTCTTTAAAACTTTCTTTGTATTGTATTCTTTGTATTGACCATAAAATAATTTTTACATAAAAAATACAATTATTAAATGTGTTCTTCCCTTTGCAGGTCAGGATATTTTATTTATGTTTAATAATTTATTCTTTGCAGTGATCAAAGAACTGCAAAGAATACTGCAAAGAACAGGCTGAGAGAGGCCGGCCTGTTTTTAAAATCTGTGATTTAATCATTTCTAGGTAATAAATAATTAAAAAACATATTCTACTTGAATTTCAAATTTTTGTGTTTTTTATGTACTTATTTTTCTCCGTCATTTTTAGCTTTAAAGTTCGCTTTTTGTATTTTTGTTTGCTTCACTTCGCATTTGAGCAATTTCCCCTTTTCCACCAGAGGGGGCGCGGGCGTGCGAGCGAGCCGTGCGTGCGTGCAGCCGCAGATAAAGAACGGGTGACGTAACCACTTCCACAACAACAAGAAGAAACAAGGAAGTGTCAATCCGAAACCTGTAACAAGGCCGAGACAAGATACGCAGAGCTCCGTACAAGCTGATGTTCCTCAGCCTCCGAATCAATCCACAACAATGAATAACAAAGGTATTTCTCCGCAGCGGGTTCAGTTTGTCAGCTAGCTGCCCGTCAGTCGACGCTGCTGTTAGAACTAGAGCCGAACGGGCTGTCGTTATCTAAAGCGGACTTCACGTTTAGCTACGTACATAACAATAAACTGACGCCTTCTGGGAAGCTCACTTACTGAACATAAAGGCGTCTGAAATACTGTAATGAATACATTTTTTTACTTTCTCGTTACATTATTGTTCTGATTCAGATCAGGTCGCATTTTGTTTTTTGTTGTTTTTTTAGCGAGCTACAACCATTTAAAACGGCAAAGCTGCCATACCTGGACTGTTTTGGTTCGCTGTTGTGTTAACATGGAAGTCCTATTCTGCTGCAGTCAGACTGAAGGAGCATTTTAGTTTGGGCTCTTTGCTGCATCTATTCATATTGTTTTCCTGTTTAGCTGATCATTTCAGTTTATAAAAGAGGCTAAACACGCTTACATGCCCAAACAAAGGGCTGATGCTAGTTTTGCTTTCACAATAATTTAACCATTATGTTGCAACCGACTGGCCCTATTCATTAAAAATCAGCAACAACAAAAAAGAGCAACATTTTAATAAACTGTTTTACCTTATGCTGTGTGTTTTTTTTTTAACTACGTCACGTTTCTTTGTGATTGTTTTAGAATAAAGTGAATTCAGCTTGCCTGGAGATCTTTTGTTTCTGTTTTTTTTATATATACAATTCTGACTTGTTAGCTATATAATTATAAAACATGATATATGTGGCAACTTAGGTTGCATCTTATTCTCTATTTAGTTTCAGTTTAATATTTTTCAGATTCTTCCAATACACAAGGTTTTTTGTGACATCAGCTTATATATATTATCATCTGTTATTCATCATTCTTATTAAAGAATGGTGGTTTGATTGCAAATAACCAAACTGCCCATACTCATCTTGTAAAATTTAGTTTTTATTCCCATTTACCTGCATAAAACGGCTAAATAAAAACCTAAATGCCTTAATTTTCTTACTGCATTTGCTTCATGTTTTAATATTTGATCGATATACAAGCTTTGTTTGTCCCATAGGTGATAGAAATTCTCCTTACACAGGGTTAATTTTAAAACACATGCATTCAAAGACAATTCAATGTAAAATAAAATATAAGTAATATGAAATCCACATTGATACAATGAGAACAAATCCAAGAGGACCATCTATGAAGAGATTCACTTTATATATTAACCTTTTATATACATTTAAAATCAGTGTTTACACAAAATTGTATACAACCATAAATATTTAATTTGATAGACTGAAGCAAATATTAGGGATACAAATTTGACCGAGCAGGCAAGAAGATGGAAATAAACTTTGGTTGTTAATATCGGCCCAGTTTTAATTATCAGATTACCGATATGTTAAAGACTGATTAATATCGCCTGATTCTGATGTTAACGCCAATATGTCATGAATTACTTGCAAAAATTATTCACTCCTGCTGAAGTAAAATAACATTGATTCTTAGTTATATTTTGCAACATTATTCACAAATTTTTAAGTGGTTATTGGCAGAATATTATTATTATTATGCTATTTATAGAGTAACACAAGTCTAACGAGGTAACAGTAAGTAGTTAATTGGTCTGATTGTACGTTCGGGTAGTCAGCATGTGGTTGGCTGCTTAGTTTTAAAACAAAGTTACTTTATTTGGAGTGATAGTCTTTAGTTTCCACACCATGACCGATTTTTGACCAGAAATATTTATCAGGAGCACAGCACTGTTATTTCAGCTCCAATTCTATTAGAGTTGAAATGATTAAAAAATTATTGAGATAAACGTCAACTAATTTAGTAATCAAATATTTGTATACAAACTAAAAAAATGACATTTGCTGAATGAACAAAACACTCATAGCAACCAGTAAGACAAAAATATATTTACATTTTGCATTTAAGATTAAAAAAAATCTTTAAGTGGTAAAATGTGGGCTTCACCGGATTCATGTTCTGTAAAAAAAAAAAAAAAGATTTACTCTCCAGTTATTAATCAGTTAATCCACACAATAATCAACAGATCAGCCATACGCTGTACTGATAGTCAAGCAGAGAGGGCTGAACGTTTCACATGTTATTGTTAGATGTGTTTTTTTTTTTTAATCTTGGATGCATGCTTTGCTACAGATGGTCTAGAGTTCACTAAAATAATACTGTGTTGCATTTTAGGCAATAATCTTTTCATGTTTTTATGTTTTTCTAAAACAAAAATCCTCGAGTGGTGAAATGAAAAATCTGCAGAACGTGCAAATTTCTTTATCCGATTAATTGTTAGAGTAACCGTTAGTTTCCATTCATTTAGTCCTGACTTCACACACATTTTTTGGCTTCATCATCGTCCTTTATTATCCTTTCTGAACATGGGGATTCCCCATCAGTTCCTGGGGTTTCAGTATTTAGTTTAAAACCGAATGTGTTGTTTTGCAGGTTCATATCCACAGCAGTCTGTGTACCCTCAGCAGAGTACTGCACCTGTATACCCTCCTGCTATGCAAATGTCTCCTCAGGCACCTCCCTACACAGACACACCACCTGCATATTCTGAGGTAATTTAGCAATCTGGAAGTTGGACACTAAGACAGCTTATAATTTCTGAAGGTTTAATTTTGCTTTCCATCTCTCTGTGTGCAGATATACCAGCCCAGATATGTGCTTCCACCTCAGGTGCCTGGTCAGGTGCCGCAGATGTCCTCTCCCTACCCTGGCCATCAGGTGTACATGCCCATGCAGCCACACATGCAAGTGGGTCCGGTGGGCCAGAATGTCCCCATGGCTTACTACCCCATGGGAGCCGTTTACCCCCATGGATCAACCGTGATGGTGGACGGTGGCTTTGACGCTGGCGCTCGCTTCACAGCCGGCAGCAGCGTCTCCATCCCCGTGAGTGTTTACGTCAAAATGCGTTGCTTTAGGCGAAAACTGTCAGCTGAGTCTGTTTTTCCCTGCTTTCCCTTCAGCCCCCACCGCCTGGACACCCCCCTAATGCGGCTCAGCTGGCCGCCATGCAGGGCGCCAATGTTGTCATGACGCAGCGCAAGAATAACTTCTTCCTGGGTGGATCCAGTGGAGGGTATACCATCTGGTAACAGCAGCTACTCCCCTCCTGGTTCATGCATAAAACCCCATCCCAGATGATTCCCCAGTTCCTTCTTTATTCCATACGCCTTCCTCTTCAGGCTGCTTGGCCATGCCACAATACTGATATCACCTAACGGAATGTAATATTTTAGAGCCCTTGTTAAAGGTACAGTACTCCACTTCTGACCTACAGATCAAATGATAATTCTCACTGCCTGAGAGGGAAAAAAAGCTACAGATTTTAAATTTTAAGTCTCCATAATTCTTTGCTGGATCGAAAGTCTTCGGTTGCTCCAGATTGGACTTTATTTCAGGCGTGTGTGTCTGCTCAGGAGAGCTATTCTCCTTTGATCAAATGGTCACAAATAACACTGAGATATTCATGTATTCCTGTACAACTTAGATAAAATGTTCAAATAACAGACCTACATTATATAGTTTAGCTGCTTTATGGTGAAAGTAAAACGCAAAGAAGCAAAGTTACAAAGTCGCAAAGCGCAAACTAAAAGAAATCTCCACTTGTCGTTTTTGAAAATCTCTAGTGTAGTTTAATTAATAGGAGTGTAATAGTTTTGTGTAAATACCAGTATGATGATCAGGGGATGTTACCATCTCTGCTATATATTAAAAAAAAAAAAAGAACCAGCATCCTGGATGCATTTAGTTAGACCTGTCTTGTCTTTTGCACAGTATCAAAAAAAAAAAAACACCACAATAAATTTGTTGCACAATGAACTTTCTGAGAGATTGTTCCATTTCAATCAGTTGTAAAATAAATAAATTTAATTTAAAGCAAAACAAATATGTGTTTAAGAAAAGAGTTAATGCAATATCTCAAGTGGTTTACTGTACCTTGTTGGGCAACTTGTAGATGAACATAGTCGAGTGCCAAAGAGCACTGGGGATAACCCTGAATCGAAGCAAATTAACTTCAGTAAACTTAAAGGAAAGAAATTTAAAGTAAATCCAAATAGTAAGATGAACAGAAAGGGGTGGTTGGTGTAACATTTTTAGCTTTTTATGTATCCTATTTCTATTCCACAGTCGGATACCCAGAGTTTATCACTGCGCATTTATTATTCAGATCTACAGAGCTATCCTTTTTTTTGAGGGGTTTTTTTTTGTTTACACATCCTTAAACGTGTATGGAAAAAAAAAACATTCTTCTTAGAAGATTGTAACCATTTCACAAAAATGCATTTAATACTTCAGTTTTGTTTTTTGACTGATTTACACGAGTAGTTAGGCTAATGAAAACATTCGACAGTATAACCAATGAGCTGGTTGTGCCAAAGACCTAGCCGGCAATGCATTTATAATAAGTTGTGGCGTCAAATTTTAACCGCCACCGTTTGAAAAAGCAAACATATCCTTGAACAAGACGTTGTGACGCTGTCGGCTCCTCAAGCCTTCAGTTTCCCATGACTGCAATCTATTGTGGATTTTTTTCCCCCCCCGTCACCTTGTGTGGGTCACCTGCATCTTTGAGTTGCTGCATACTTTGCACCTTTTGCTAATGTACCTTTTAACTGAAATGCACTGCTAAGCAAAACTGAGGAGTTGCAGAAAAAAGGGGCTAATCTCTTTTTACATTCTGTTTTCATGACTTTTTAAATGAAAAGGAAAAAAAAGCTGTGACATTTTTCAACAGTTTTGAGTCCATTTTTATTCCATTAAAAAAAAAAATTAATGTAAAGATGTGCCATGTTGTTACAAAAGCCTGAAAGTGTATGCAAAGATCTTGCAATGAGGCTACATGACTGTCAGCATGTTTATTTAACTCATTTTTAAAAAATAAAAAAAAATATGCTTTCATGCATCTTTGGAGTCAATCAAAAATGAAATAAAGTATTTGAAGCTAGACATGTTGTCTGTATGGATACCACAAACTAATATTTGTAAGCATTTATCATTGTGGTGTGAATGAGTGTCACTGGGTATCCGACACGCAGCATAAAGTTTTAATAGCTGTGGCTAACGGAAACGAAAGCCAAAACGCTGGCTGTTTAGTGATACAAATATTAACTAAATCCCAAACCAACTTTCTGGAAATCTGTTTTCTTCTTCCGATATGAGAACGGTTTTAAAAACACTCAACTCCTGCTGTCATTTCAGCCTCTTTTTTTTTTTTTTCAAACAAAAGGGCCACAGCTATCAAAACTTTAACAGCTGTAACTCAAACAGAAGTTTTCTTCCTTTTTTTCCATCTCTGCTCCAATTGTAAAGCAGCTTAAGTGGCTTCATTCTAGCATTATGAAGTACTGTAAACTCACAGCTGACTAGTAGATGCTATGCCAACCACAGCCAGCAAATGGGACATTCTTTGTTGAAGGATTATGGACATTTATAGTTCAGGGATTCTCTTTACAACATTTTGTAAAATAGATGTATGTACTAAAGTGATGTGATGTACTTTGGTACACATTCTATCTTTTAAGATTACTAAAGGAGATGAGTGTCACTACGGTTTGCTGAGACGTGTCAAGGATGAAATGCTTTGGAAAAAAAAAAGAACTTAGGTGCACTTAACTTTTTTATACTAAACTTAAAATTTAAAATGTAAGTTTAGAATAAAGGTTATTTTGGAAATTTGAAATGTGGTAAGTTTGTTCTTGTATGCATTTGTGTAGTCCCTTGGTAGAATAGTAAAAAGTTTCTTATGTTGACATCTGAGATTTATTTTATTTTTTTGTTGTTTCGGTTTTTTGCCACAGGCGATTATTAGTTTAATAAACATGCTTCCTATTTTCAAAAAATAAAAATCTTTGTAAAGGAGAGCAATTATTTTAACACAAAATTTATGCTGAAAATTACATAAACAGCGCGTCTATTTGACTTATTAGTTTAACAAACTAGCTTCCCAGTAAATCTTTAGAACCCATGTGTCAAACTCGAGGCCCAAATTTGACCCTCGGTAGCTTTTTATGTGGCCCTCTAGACTCCAGACTCCAAATTACATAAATCAGTCCCTCCAGTTTTTCGCAATTCCATGATTACAAAGTTTCACGCAAAATCAACAGATTCCTGCATTGTTTCACGTAAAGCATAACGTATTACGAATTTTCCACAAAAACTGGATTTAAGAGACTACCAACTCCCATCTGCAGGTGGCAGTATTTCTCACTCAGTCTCACTTGACATCAAGCTATTCGCAAAAGCAAATGGCATAGACACTGCCATTTAAAATTTTACCCAATTGCTAAAGTTTGTCTGTAATTAATCTAATGCGCCATGTTGATGCTAAAAAACTTACTAAAATTGTAAAACTGCGAAGACATAAGTGCCAAGCTGAACAAGATGGCTGTTGATGCTAATTCAATATTTGTGGCCAACACACACTTACCGGCTCCGTTCACTTTGGTCATTGCCGTTGCTAGGGCAACCTACAATTCGAAAACAGCGACGTCATCGTTCACAACTTCTGCTGTTCGCTGATTGGCCCGGTACAAATTCTAACGGAAAGAATCAAAGTAAACGGGAGAAAGCCCAGACCGCTCCGTAAGCGAGCTAACATTTTACATGCTAATTTAGCCAGTTGGACGGAGTATCGCGATAGCAGATGTTTCGCTCAGGAGATGCTTCCCACGAAGCTTAACGTCACAAATAAAGGAGAAATATTGCGACTGATATTACAATATTTACTAATATCGCCCTTGTAAGATCTTCAAATGTTGTGCGGCTTTAGCTTTAATAGCATTTCACCTTTAGCATTGCATTTACACGAACAAAGTCAATCTATTTTTAACGTATAAATCATACCGTTACTCATGAGCTACAGCAAAAACTTTAATTTTACTGAACTTCTTTATGACTTACACAAATAAACTGACCTGTAATCTTTGCGCTCACTTCCTACTTGTGCCCAGCAGTGAAGCTTTTGCGGAACTGAAATGTGAAACGTTTCTATATTTAAAAAGCATGGAGAATCAGTACCTTGGAAAATTATACACAATTTCATAAAATATAAAATTTTAAATGTGCTCTGTCTATATGTAAAATAATGTCCTTTATAGATTTCCATAGAAAAAGTTGAACCTAAATTTCTTGCTCCCATAAATATAAAATTTTCTATTTAATCTAGTACAAATAAAGATTTCCATACTATTTTTCCAACCCCTTTTTTGTAGTAAGGGAACTTGTCACTGTACAGTTTAAAGGAGCAATTTTACAGAATACATTAACCTGAATAGTCACATTACTATCTTTACCATCTTCCAAACATTAAAAAAAGTTTCCAGTAACTACATAGAAAATTAAATCAGGTGCAACAAAAGCAGTTTCTGTATCATTTTTTTAATTAAAAGAAAAGGTTGATAAAAAAGAAAAGCAACTGAATATAAATGTAACAGAAGATTGAGGAAAAATACATCTCAGAGAAGTAAGGCAGAAACGTAATAGTGTCAGAGTAATCTTGTGATGGTTGCTGAATGTTTTGTGATCCTATAGCTGGCTTTAAAACATGTCATGTAGACATGTTTTAAATCCTACCACCTGTTTCATACCAAGCTGTGGTTGTCGGTAGACGCCCGTTGTCTTTCAGCTGCTTCACATTCATCAACATTCATGGCTACAGTCCTGATCCTGTCTTTGGTTTCACTCCTGGGACAACTTCTTAAAAACATCCCCACTCCAGCTTCCACCCTCCCCTCTCCCTGCCAGTAGCAAATCCATCCCATTTCTTTTTTTTTTTTTTATTACACATGCATCTTTATTTTCCTGTTAGCCACCCTCTTTTCCCAGGTTCATATGAAGTATTCCTTCTTTTCACTCACACCAAGTGTGTGGGACTCGTCATAGAAATAATCTCCTGGAGCCGGCTCCCCCGTCGTCCTGTAGTCGCCTTTGTTGCGGCACATGTACCGATACAGTACATAAGCAATAACACCCAACGTCACCAACATGGCAAATACGACCACTAAGATAAAAGATAAAAAAAAAGAATGACTTTAGAATCCAACTGTGTCCTAAAAGTGACAAGAAAAGTAACTTGAGAGTAAAAACTGATACCTCCAATAATTGTGTTTTGGTCTCTTACAGGGAGTGATTTTGTTACCACTGTGGAAAGATATTGTGCTTTAAAGATTTTTACATCTCAATACAGTAGTAATTCAATTAAAACAGTGAAACTCAGACTCATTACACATATTGATACATTTAGGAGTGTTTATTTCTGTTGATTTTGATGAATACAAATTATAGTTAATGAAAAGTCATGTTGGTTACAGCCTAACAACTTTAGTTACCAATTATTCTGAATTGATCAAGTTTAAGTTAAATGCGTTTAATTTAAACATTAAAATTTTGGCTTAATTACTCCTCTGAGTAGGTTCTTTTACCTTTTTTGAGTCTGTGTGCTCTAGTAAACGATCAATTACTAAATGAGTTGATCATTTATAATTGATTCATCACCATTAATGATTCTGTCTTAGCCATGTCGCAGCCTACACAATAAGGGAAAATGTCAACACTACAGTTGTCCAACAGATCCTCCTCAACAAGGTAGTTAAGCCAAAAAAAGGTCAATAAGTTGGCCGTTTACAGAGTATTCAAACTAATTTGAAAGTTTAGTGGAAGGACAAAGTATGTAAAAACGGGGATAGCTCCAATCACATGGATTCACATTGAATGCAGTGTAAATGCAGCACTTACTCATTGAGTCATTAGAAATGATCATTACATTTAACAAACCTGTTGAGCTCAAATTAAATGTTTAAATATGAATCAGTTCACTTTCTGTAACGAGTCTTCTCTCCTAGATGTTTATTTCAAAACTGTGCAGCCAGAATATTAACCACTTTACACAGAAATCAAGCACTTTTCAAACCTTGAAAACATCTAATTGAAATTTTCAAGGATTTCAAGCACCTGATTAAATGTGTATACTGCCGACTTACTTTTCATTACGTTTGCATTTCAGTGTTAAAATCATTTCATTGAGCAGTTTGTTCCCAATAAACTGAACCAACAGAAATAAACACTTTAAATATACAGCTCTCGTTTTTATTAGCATCTGGTAAAACGAAGGTAGCTCCGTCTTCTTCTTCTTCTGCGTATTAAAGTGACTCCATGTGGATAATGCAACAAAAACAGTGAAAAACAAGGAGTGAAGGTGTTACCATAAATAACGGAGTCGTTTGCTTGTTTAGGAAAAGCTGTCGGCCACAAAGTTGAATCTGCAGAAAAACAAATATGTTTATGAAACAGAACATATTGTGACAGAGTATCTGTTTGCTGTGACAGGAAAAAGCAGTAGTTTGGTAACTATCTGTTAAAAGCCGAATACTCACTCCGCGTCACAGCTTGCTGTGTAAACGCGCTTGATGAGTTCAGATCTGTACCTGGAAGATAAGGGAGCTCGTTAAAAATGTCAGAAAACACAATCTCAATGAACAAGGGCTACTTGTGTAACAACCCATCATGTTGTGATAATCTAATCTGATTATTTTGGATTAGGACTGTAACATAAGGCATTGTTCACTTAAAAAAAGAAAATATTATGCATGGGAAAAGTTTATCTTTTCCATTTGAGTGTAGAAGTTAATTCTTCTCTCTCGTTAAGAGTTTACTAAAATACATAAACAGATTTTTTATTTTCTCTGAATATTTCAGAGAGCAGCAGAATTTCTGGACAATAATCAGTAAAATATGTTTTATATACCTGAAGGTGTCAGACTGGTTCTAATTGTTATTTTATATTCATATGCATTTTCAATTTGAAGGAGATGGAAATTGTGGCAGAATATTAAGGCCAGTGTAGATGACAAGCAGAAAATAATGGGGTTAGGGAGTAAATAAGGAGCAAATTACTGTCAAAAATCAAACATTTACCTTACATATTTACAAGAAAAAAAAGTTTTTTGATGTAGAAACATCAAACTTACAAAAAAGAGATAATTTCCATAATTAAAGGCAGATACTATCAATTAGCATATTCTATGAACATTTTTACTTCAAAATGTCAGAACATAATAGTTTTAATGTGAAAATGTCTTTAATCCTGGAAAATTATCCTGTTTTTTAAATGACTGACAGAATGTCCCAGTTTTTCTTGTAAATATGGGAAATTAATCTAGAAATGTCAATTTTTTGGTGGCCACATTTCTTACTTTTTATGTACACTGACCCTAATAAAATTATTTTGGCTATATTTATCACAATAAATATTTTATTTCTGACTGCTGACTTTTACAAAAATATATAGTAATTTCTAAAAGTTAATGTTTTTGAATTGTTTCAGTATTAAATCCTAAATATCTTTGAAGATCAATGCGTTTACCTGTCATTTGTTATTATATATGATTTTCTAATGTTGCCTGGAGGAACTAATATGCTGCTTTCTGAGTTTCACACCAGAAAAAAAAATCCCTCCTGAAGTCTAAACTCTGACCAAAAGCTGCTAGAATAATTTTATTTGAATTTCTGACTGCTACCATCTGCAAATTTGTGCGTGGTTGTTCGTCAACAGGCTGCGCCACACCTTTAAACCAAACAGCTTTTTATTTCCTATTGGAGTTACAAGAATTTCCAACAAAAACTTAGAATTATCTAGAAAAACATATTTCAGTTATAAATGTGACCTTTGGGCCAAAATAAAAAGTTCTAGGCAATTTCCCACTGCGGAGGGTGTATTCTGCTATATTATAAGTCAACTATTGTATTAGTTATTTGCTTGTTGAATATTTCATGACATTGTTTTAAAAGTTCAGTGATTTTCAGTCCTAGGTGTAAATTGATAGATGGGAATTACTTTTATTTTTTTCTTAAGGTGCCAGTCACAGTCTGATAAATAAAACCGGGTCGATATTAAATATTTGTTTTCATCTTATTTGTTTCCCAAAATGTGTCAAAATAGCTGAGAAATATAAGTAATATCAGGAAATATCCGTTTTAATAGCAGTAATATTAAATATCGACCCAAAATTTTATATCCACACAGCCCTAATTTTTACTAAATAATATGTTGCTTTAATTTATTCAAGTCCTGATATATTTTTGTTTTTCTTTTACACTATAAAACACATGCGCTCCCATAGCTGTTTAGTTATTTTTTCAAGAGGATCTCAAGACTCAAAATGGAGTCCCAACCCAAACTTTGGGAGTCAACAGTTTGCTTATGCCTTTAACAACATTCCTAAACTTAATACTCACTAAATCTTAAAACGAAGCAATACGTTTAATATATGCACAATTTAATCAAAATGTGAACTTACTATTCATTGTGAATGCTGGGTGAGTTTGGCTACCTGAAAGAAAGGCACAAATTAAACAAACATTGACAGTTTCACCAACAGTTTACTTGAATTTTTAACAAGTTGAGGTGTTCAAACAAACATTTCCTGCTTTACAACCAGCACACTTCACCAACCAGCTGAACTTCTTTGTTAAACGAATGACCTTTAAAAAAAAGCCAAACCACTTTCACACCAGCTTTCACTGCGGTCCGTTCACTTGTCTGACCAGAAAGCGGACTGACCTCCATAATTTAATAAAACCAGGCCGTCACACAAAGCTCTCCCGCCTCCCATTCAGCAGTTAATCAATCAGACATTGTTCCACCGCAGCTGTTGTTTGGACTTACTTACCTGAGGGCGCAGCAACAGCTGTGGAGCAACCGCGACACGAAACCTCAACAACGGACCAAACAACTTCTTTTTACGGCGGGTAAAACAAGAAAAACAAAGAGCAAACACTCTCTGTTGTTTTTCCGGGGTTTAAGGTTTTAACTCCACCAAGTGAAACTTAACTGCGTGGGTGAAATACAGTAAGAGCAGACAGTTTCTGAAGACTCGTGAGTCGGGAGGGAGACACTCGCCGTTTCCGCCCCTCCCTTTCCTCTTCTACTGCCTCAGAGATCCTCTATGAAACAGATGCGCGACTCTGTTGGTTAAAATGCGACCCAAAAAGTGAACCCGGAAGTGGCGCTGCTCGATCCGACGGTCAAGTTGTTGTGGCCTATCTGAATGAATGAATGAATGATACCATTGAAACACCTTCTAATCTTTTATACAAGTACCTTTAAGAGTAAGTACAAGAGTAATACGACTCACTAATTTGGTTTTCTTGTATGAATGTCGGTCATTTTTTACTTACACACTGCATTTCTAATTTATATTCGTCTTTAAATGTATGAGTCTTGGGGACAAACAATAATCTGGGCATTTCCATGGTATATTTCTATGAATAAATGAACATGATTTCTTCAGTTCATGGTGAAATTGTACCCAAGGACAATCCAGACTTAATTTGATATCATCTGATTTATTTTGATGTTTCCATTATGCCATACAAGGAAGCCGCGTGTTTCAGGTGTGTTTTGTTGTTTTCCAATTAAAATATGTATAATTATTAATTCAAATCTTAAAATAAACCAGAATTTGCATTTTAAGACTCACAATGCCTTGTTTAGCTTGACACACATTTCAGTTTGAAGCATTTTCATCTTTCTAATTGGTTCTGTCAAACTCCAGATGTACACTGAATAGAGAATCTGTGACAACATTAAGTTTGAGCAATTACAGCTTTATTTCTTGTTCATGCTTAGCTGCAGAGAAAAATTTAAACCCTGTATTGATTCTCATCATTAACTACTCAATTATGTCCAGATTTGTGTTATCTATCAGCAAGGTTGCAATAAAAACATAAAAATTAGTGGTTGCAATGTAACCAAAATGTGAAAAGTTCAAGGTGTATACTTTACATGAATTACACAAATTTAAAAACCAATTTCAACTCTTATTAAGCCAAACACAACACATAAAGATGCACTGCAAACTCTAACTTATTAGATTTTTTAGTAATAAATGTTAGAAATATTTCTACGTATCATTAAATGTGTAAGATGTTATTAATCCCTGACAATCTTGACTCATCATGCTTTGGTTTTGGCCTTCCAGTTAGTAAAAACATAAAAATTATCAGTTTAGTTCAGTTTCTTCTAATAAGAGAAGCTAAGCACAATGTGCTACCTTGTGCATTTATACTAATAAACTGTTTATTCAAGAACACTTTCTGTTTGGTTTGTTTTTATTAAAATGAGAAGCTCCTTCTGGGACAAACTTGATTTGATTGAAAGATAAATGAGAAAACTACCAGAAACATCAGTCATTAAACAACAGTTGGACTCGTCTGCCCGGCTGTCTTCTTCCTTTTTATTTTTGCCTCTTGACCAGCTGTCGTTTTCAGTCTTCTGTTCAGGCAGAAGGGGAAAAAAGACGTCAAATACTAAAAGTAAGGTGCAACGTGAATTTATGAAATAAAAGAAGCAAACCTGTTTCTTTTCTAAAGTGTGAAACCTTTAAACCGTTGTGGTCTTTGAGTCGTGGGGCGCTTGTTTTTCTCCAGCACCCTCCTAAAGAGAACAAGAGTTATAACATGTAGGAACAAACCAGAAATAGAACCAGCATGCCTCAGCTGCGAGATAATTAGGAGACCAACCTTCTGAGGAATGCGCAGGTTGCTGGTGTCAGAGTTCAACGCGCCGACGTCGCCGTTCTTTAGACCGTTTGCTTTCTGTGAGTCAAGGGTCGCAGAGGTTTCTTCTTCTTTTTCTTCGATGTGCAGCGTTTCGCTTTGGGCTGCGGACAGCTGCAGCTCCAAGCTCTCCGACTCGCAGGAGTTGTTCAGTTCAGAGCTGCTCTCACTTGGTGGAGCTTTTTCTCCATCTTTTTTATCTTCTACCTCTTTGGAGCTCTTCCCCTCTTCGGCCTGACCGCTGGCTGCTCCGGACTTCTCTTTCCCAGATGTTCCCGCTGCGGCTTCCTCCTGCGCCACAGAGCTTCGGTTCTCGGAGTGGCAGGAAGTCGTGTCCAGCTCTCTGGATTCGGTCAGGCTCCTGTTCAGGGTGGACGACCGAGAGGAGAAGCCGAGTGTGCTGCTGTCTCTGGACAGAGTGCTGTGGCGCGGTTTATCCGGAGACTTGAGACTGGACCGCAGGCTCATTCTGGGATTGTAGGTCCGGTTAAATTCGGAAAAACTGGCCTTCCAGGCCCTGGGGGACAGCAGAGTCCGTCTCTTCAGGGAGCCATACCTGAAATAATTTACGGGAATGTGACAACTTTTTATATCTGCAGTGTCTGCAAAGGTTTCATAGCCAAACCTTTTTTAAATTTTATTAAGTTAAAGCCACAAACATGAATTGGTTTTATTGGGAATGCATGAGAAAGATCAGGAAAAGTAAATTAATGCATCGATTTCAACAATTATGAAAAATAAAAATCTGACAATTGTATGTGTGCTCATCTTCCTCTGAGTTAAAGGTGACCTATTGTTCTTCCTTGAATATTTTAGGGTAGGTCTATGGGCTACACAAAACGTTTTCATAATTTTTATTTTAAATTTTTTTGGCAAATCATTCTTGTATAATGACATTTTAGTCTGTTCTGATTGTTCAGATTTAGCTACTTTTGGGGCATCTTGTCACTTTAAATCCAAATAAGCTGCTGGCCAAACTCAATGTTTTCACTCACATGTGAAAATGGCTGAAAACAGATGCATAATTATACAACTGTAAATCTTTGAAAAGCAGAAGTGGAGCCTCCTGCGCACCAGAAAGTGGTTTCTAGATGCTAAGTCAACAACAAAATACTTGTCTTTTCCAGCAGCCATTGCACTGCAGAAATACTAAATCTTACTATTTTTAGTCTAATTTCTTCTGCAAATATCTTAGTACACTTGAAATAAGGCAAAACTAACTTACAAGTAACTTTTCAGCAAGATGTAGAAGCTTGTTTTAAGTAAATAATTCTTTAATTTTGATGAAAACTAGTCCTATTGGCAGATATATTTACTTATAACAAGACAATTTGCCCATGTTAAGTGAAAATAATCTGCCAGTGGAACTCATACTTTTTCAATAAGATGACAAAATGTGAAAAATTCATGGGATATTAAAACTTTTGCAAAGCAAAAATTGCATCTTAAAAAAGTTCCAAGAAAAAACAGCATATTTTTCTGATCCATTACAGCTCAAAAAACCTCCAGCTGTGATGAATACATGTGAAAACCTTCTGTTTTTATTATTTTTATCAACTGTATGTAAAGCCTAGAGGGGGAAACCTACCTCTGCAGCCCCCTCACAGAAAACGTTTTGTCAGGATGCTGAGCCTGCAGCTCTTTTATCACACACTGCAGATCAAGATTGAGCTGAAAGAGGACACGGTGGTCAAAACAAGAAAATCTGTCCACGTTATAATCGTATTTCACTTCAAGGCGAGACATACCGTGCTCATTTCCTTATAGAAGATGTCTCGTAAATTAGACACAGCTGAGAAGACAGCCACGTAACATCCGATGCGGCTACAGGGAGAAAAACACACAATTAATTTAAAAAGATGTGAAAGAGGAAAGAGAAATTTAACATTACAAAGAAAGCTATCGGACCTGTCATAGAGGACAGGCAGCTCCTCTTTCAGCTCATTGTTGATCCCGTCATAGATGTTTTTGGCAGCTAGCATCTCTTCCTTTGCCTGCAGAGTGAAAGGATGTATATTTAAGCAGATGCAGGCACATGAAAAAACCTTCTAAGATTTTTAATACTCTTTCAAAGACCTTGCTTATCTTGATATCGTCCCTCTTCTTGGCGGTCTGCAGAGACTCCAGGGTGTGAAGGGACGAGTCGTAATCCACCCGTTTTCTTCCCCTCTTGGCAATTTTCTCCTACGAGTTAAAAAGTAGATTCATGGAAATGTGAATTTGTTCTCACGCTTTTGTTTTGTCCGCATGTTCAGCTCTGTTTCCCTGCATTACCCGAATATCTGGGAACTGTCCCACGTAGGACTCCATGGTGCGGACGACCTGGTCCAACATCTTCACCTCGTGGTCGTTCCACAGGAGGTCCTCGCCCTTCATTAACCGGCGTAAACATTACTTTAATTATTCACTAAAGCTGCAATATGTAACTTTTATAAAGAATATATATTTTTACATATTTGTTAAAACTGTCACCATGAAGGATAGTTTGGTACAAGATGGATAATCTGTAAAAAGATCAATCTCCTTCACTTCTTCCCTGAGCTATTATCGCCATCTGAAGAAATGCACCGCTCCCGATCAAAAACAACCAATCAGAGCCAGGAGGCGGGTCTTAATACTGTCAATCAATGGCATGTACTCGCTGCTAAATGTTCTTATGGCTGAGAAACAACAACTTACAGTTACAGGAAAGCCGTTTATCTGCCGTCATATGTGGCTATGCTAGCTAGCACTAGCATTCTCAAAATGCTATGCTAGCTGCAGCGTAACAGCAAGAGGGGAGAAAACCGTGGAATAAGCAGCATCACACCAGATTGTGATTGACAGCGCTAAAAACCACCACAAAGGACTCATAATTGTAAATTGGAGGAAAAATGAAGCATAGTTGTTTTGGATATTTTTTACCATTTATTATAAGAAAAATCTGAAAATTGTGTTGGGAGTTTATATTCAGAAATACTCAACATTTTGTGAAACCACTCCAGGCTCTGATTGGTTGTTTCCAGTTAGCACTGGGAGCACTGGGAGAAAGCAGAGGAGCTTGATTTATACCATACTGCCATGGCATAATGACAGTTTCAACAAATATGTAAAAAATATTTTTTTATAAAAGTTACATTTTGCAGCTTTAAGACAGATAGAAGAATGAGTTCAACCCCTGTGGTTTCTACCTCTCCTTATTTATTAGAATTAAATGCTCTGTTGTATCTATTATTAATATTTAACACTGTTGGAGTCGCTTCTTAATTAATAAGCAACTGGGGATAAATAAAGTATATTTATTCTATTGTATGCATGTTGCTGTTTTCTCTCGGTCACTAACCTCAACAATGGCTCCCAGGTCTTCCTCTCCAGCCCAGTCGCTTTCATAAACATCAAACAGAGACTGAGAGAGGCGTCGTGACGCTTCACGCATGTCTGCAGAAAGTACAACAACTTATCTGAGACCAGCAGATGGCACAAATCTACATCTGCTGCACGTGCAAGCAACCACTTCATACCTCTTATTGCATCAATGTAGTTCCGTAAGTCCTTGTACATCCGGTTCCCGTCTGTCTGCAAATAGAAAAGGAGTTTACGATGCTTTAATGTCTTTAATGCATTTTGACAGGATTTTACGGTAAAAATCATCACAAAGAAACAAGGAAAATGATGCGTAATTGTTTTGGATCTCTTTTTTAAACATTTATTTAAAGGAAAATCTGAAAATTGTGGTGGGAAATTATTTTCAGAAATACTCAATATTTAATGAAATCACTCTTTGCCAATTTTTAAGTCTTTCCATTTATTCTCAATTGGATTTAGGTCTAGACTTTGACTGGACCATTCAGTGACTTTTGACAGCTGTATGTTTTTCTTAGCTTTTATTTAGGGATATCATAGTAATAGGGGGCTGAATTTTCAATATTTTATTTGTAAACAATTTCAAAATTTGTGTTTCATTCCTTCAATTTAACAAGCCTGAGCTACTCTGTTGTTTTACCACATAAAAACCAAGGAAAACATTAAAATTGGTCGTTGTGAAGTAAAACTAATGTAGATTAAGGGACATGAATACTTTTTCAACAGGTTTAGAGCTTATTTGTGATTATTAAGAATAATTGAGCTTAAGATTTTGTTACCTGCTGGTCGTTGAACATCTGGAGGGAGTGTTCAAACTGATCATCTCTCGTCTCCATCGACTTTCCAAGCCTTTGCATCACCTGCAGTGAAGTAAAAAAATCACCTAAATCTCTCCTTTCTTTCCTTGTTTTGGTATTTGATAAACTAGAAATCCTAAAGTTTGCACCTTTTCTTTGCCTCTGCTCAGCTGTCTTTGCACTTTTTTAGCAAAATCGCCAGAGTTGCCTTTTGGGCTTGTGCTCTCTGCCATGTTTGATCTCGTCTGTGTTTATTCCTGAGAGAAAAACACACAAAAAATACTTAATGAGATACAAAAGTATAACGAGACACAGAGGTGAATTTTTCTTTGTTTATAACATAAAAAACAGCAAAAAGTGTCTTTCAAGAAGCATAGATGTGTAAAACTGACACAAGGAAAACATAAGTCAAAAAATAATGAAACTCAGATGAAAGACTTATTTATTTATTTGGGTTGACTTATCTGTCTTCTTTATTTCAATAAAACATTGCAAGCTTAGTGTATCACAACAGGTAAGAAAGAAAAAAATATTTTACAAAGTGATTTTGCATTTTTAATTCAAGATTTAATGACCTGGCAGTATTTTAAATGTGATCATTTTGGCCATCAAGACAAAAGAGTTTGGAGAGCACTGCCGCAAAACAAAGACTGAATCTTTTAAAAAATTCCTCACATCAGATGGCTAAGGATCCGTCACGCCGTGGGTCAGTTTCTTTTCCTAAAAGTCTGGGAATCTGTTAGAGAATTAGACTTTTTACTACTGAAATAAAAGGTTAAAGTATTTTAAGACTTTTCTAAGTAGTTATTTATTGCCACTGTACATAAATAACAGTTATTGACAGTTAATAGTTGTTGATAATAACTATTTAATCTGGTTACAAGAGGTAAAAATAAAGGATGAGTACATTTCTGTCAAAAAACCCCTGAAGTTTTTAGATTAATCTAAAAAAA